AACACACATGCCCCAGGAAACAAATTGAGAATCACAAATTTGAGACCATCAAATTTTATTTTTACAAATTCACAACTAATTTTCCCAGCTCATTCTTTTCACATGACTTCCTTTTATATTTTTACCAAAATGAATACAAAAATTTTAAAGAAGATAATTTATCAAGTGTCTACTTCTTTTGTTATCTACATCCTCTTCCAAATGAGGTGGGCTGTTGTCAATAATAATACCCATCATTGGTTAGCTATGCCTTCTATTTCCTCTTTTTCCTAGTACATCATTGCTGTAGGGTGCTAATCAAACTCTTTTACAGTAACAGATGGCTCGACAGCTGTTAACTTTTGATAAAAACTTTTGTTCTTATCCCAGAACATTTTGTTTATTCTCATTAAATAGAAAAGGGAAGAAATGAAAGCAAACATAAGAGAGAACAAAACTGGTCTTCAGAGAACTTTCTTGCTTAACCTATGAACCATGAAATTAGTGATGTGTCAAATAAGCTGGAAATTTTACCATTTAAAGAGCATCACAGTATAGGGTTGGCTACTTCCTTGCCCATGTCTATAAAGAAATACAAAAATTGCCCTAGCTGGTTTGACTCAGTAGATAGAGCGTCAGCCTGCAGAATAAAGGGTCCTGGGTTCGATTCTAGCCAAGGGCACATGCCGGGGTTGCAGGCTTGGTCCTCAGTGGGGGCATGCAGGAGGCAGCCAATTCATGATTCTCTCTCATCATTGACATTTCTATCTCTCTCTCCCTCTCTCTTCCTCTCTGAAATCAATAAAATATATAGTTATTAAAGAAAAAAAGAAATACAAAAATGATGGACATAAATTACAATTCATATCAATACTGCAAATAGATCTCCTAAAATAGGTGGTGGCAAACTGAGGCCCACAGAACAAATCCAGCCTATCACCCATTTTTGTATGTCCCAAGAACCAACAATGGCTTTTACATTTTTGAATGATTGAAAAGAAAACAAAAGAGGAATATTTTATGATATGTAAAATTAAATTTAAGTTTCATTGTCTATATATACGTTGTATTAGAACACCCCACGCCCATTCATTTATAAATTGTCTATAGCTGCCTTCACACTACAATGGCTACAAAGCCTAAAATATTTATTATGTGGCCATAGCCTTTTAGAGAAAAAGTAAAGTGTGAAGAGTGTCAGAATAAGTTTAATTATGCAAATGGATGTGAAGTAAACCTTTTTAAACAACTATAGTAGTGACACAAAAGCATTGGGCCTGCATTCAGCTTCTAATTCAATGGCAAAGAACTCAATCTTTTAAGCTTAGCTTGCTCAACTGTGAAATAGTAAAAATATTTAACTCACTTTAGGGAAGATGAAGTTTGATGGGTGATAGAGAATGTTCACTTGACAACTTTAGATTGTTGTTGTTTTAGAGTAGTGGGTGATTCGTCTCTTGTTTTGTAGCTTCTTCCCCCACCCCCACCCCCCCAACAGAAAATAATTGCTGGAGCAAGGTGCTGGAGAGGAAGGAATCAAGGGCATAAACGGGAGGATCTACCTCAGATCAGACAGCGACCTCATTCTCAGTAACTGCATGAAAGGAGGAAAGAGTTGGTGGGGATATAGATCAGTTGGAGTGCAGGCTAGCAGACGGGGAGAGCTGGGTGGAGAGACATCTTACCAGATTGCCCTGGTTTCTCAATGAAGATGGACCCAGCCTTGAGGAGAATGGCCAAGGTTTGCAATAGTCAGTGAGGCAAAGGGGAAAGACTGATCACCAAGGAAAAATGCAGTTTTTATATCTAGGCCTAGAAGTAGCAGCCTAAGGGCAAGACAGGCTGGTTTTGTAGTCTTGCTTTCTGGCCCGAAAAAAGGAGAATGAGTTAGGGTGGCCTGTCATCAGTCCCACAGCAGTGTAGCTGTCTTAGACTTTCTCTGTAACCTAGAATGCTTTTCCCACCCCTTCACTCATCCATATTCTATTGAACACTCATCCATACTCAATTTTAACAGGTGTGTTTGTTTGTTTTTTTAGGAAGATGTCATAAACTTATTGAAGCTAAAAGGAACCTTAAAAATACTCTCACCCAATCTCCTCATTTTGTGGATGAGAAAATACTGAATCACAGAAATAAATGATTTCCTAGTGTGGCATATAGTTCAGAAACTGTGGAGTTGGATGACCTAGGTCAGTACAGTTTCCATGATGCCACACAAATCTCGTGTCATCATAATTAAAAAGAAAAGGATAGTATGTCTGTCATCATTGCAGAGATGGCTGCAAAATTAAAGTTAAGATTTGTGCTTTCAAAATTAAATGTTGTACCTATTACACAAAAATTATCCCTGTTGATGATGACATAATGTAAACACATATGGCAATTAATTTTATATAAAATACATATATAAGAAGTGAGCACAAGTGAGTGATTTGAATTGATGTATACGAATACCAGGAGCTGCTCAGAGTCCTATCATTGGCAACGCATTCAAAAACTGCAAAACACTATTCAAGGCTTTGCCATGCTTCTGGAGGGATGACAGTGCCCCCTGCAGTTTCAGCAGAAATCAGCAGTTTGGATGGAAAAACTGTGGTTTAAACATCAACATGGAAGTGTGTGCAATTAACATGCATGCTCTGGTATTCATTTTCCCTTCCTGAACTGAATAAAAATAGCTATGTAAAGATCATATTTTAAGCAAAGTACACTACAGTATATATAGTAGGTACCTATTTATATAAAAAGACATGCAATAAAGAAAAAGAGATATGTATGTGCATATCTGTAGATTAATCTGAGGATAACACTCTAGGAAATTGCAAGTTACCTTTGGAGGACAAACTTGTACCCTGGGGATCAGTTGTGGGAAGATGGTTAATTTTTCAATGTGATTCTTCTTATGCTACTTACATTTTTTTCATCATACTTATGTACTAATCTTTAAGAAAAAATTAATAGTAAAAAAAATTAATAGTAAGAAAAAAGTTAGAGAAGTAGTATGCATGCACACTTTAAAACTCTCTCTCTGAAAGTTCCATAACTTCAAATTCTTTAATCTGTTGAAAACAAGACAACAGGCCCAAAATGGAGTTGCTCATGCTAGACCCCATGCCACCAAATTAAGATTTAAATATATTCTTGGCTTTCCCAGAAATAGGATTTTAAACCAGTCAATCAGGAATCAACAACTAGGTAATCTGCCTGATAGGCCCCTGTCACCCCCTAAAAGAAAGTCAGTTTTTAATAACCAATCCACTTTGGGGCTGAGTGTAATGTCCTTTCTCCACTCCTTTCTGCCCATGAAAGTCATTCATTTTTGTGTAGCTCCTTAGAGCTCTTTTCTATCTGCTAGATGAGATACTGGCTGATTTGAATCGATTTTTGCTCAAATAAACCTTTGCATTTTTAAATATGCCTCAGTGTATCTTTAACAAAACTCTTCGCCTTTCCTGACCACACAATTTAAGTTAAAGCACAGCTTTCTTAACTCTTGTCATCTTATTAGATACAGCCCGCATCTTCTAGCTGAGCTAACAATCAAATTAACAGGTTCTTAAAGTGATGGGTAAGCCAAGGCTCCCTTCCTAAAGCAGGCTTCTCTGACTCTCTTGGGCAGGAAAGGGGGAAGAATCAAAGGCTCTTTCTGAGTGTTTTGTTTCTTAACAAACAGCTTAAAATTAGTATCTCAAAAGGCAGCTTCAGGGTAGCAAACTGTTATTCCTTTCAGAACCCAACGCCAATGAAAACAGGAACTTAGATAAAAAGGAAAAGAGAAAATCTAAACCTCAGAGTTTCTGAGCACAAGATTCTTGTTTCCAGGCTGGACAGTGACTTTGAAGGTTTTTCTTCTTTTTTTTTTTTTTTCTTCTTCTTTTGTGTGTGTTTGGGGGGAGGAGTGGAGGGGGGAGGCACTTTGACTCTTTAAAGGTCATAATTCTCTTTCGTTGGTGAAAAAAAATTGTTTTTTTCTGCATATTGCAAACTTTTAGGGTGAAGTGGCGTCCTGCACTTCAGCGCCTTGTAGCAGAAAATAGCTATTTATCTATCACGGATCCCTCCCTGCAACCACCTTCTCCAGACCCTTTACACTGTAAAGTTTACAGTGACACCCCCTCCCATACCCGTGGACGCGCCCGCCCGGCCTCGCGCCCCCCGCGCCGCGACGCAGGTGGAACAGTCCGTGACGTCAGTAGAGACCTCGCCCAATCAGCAGCGGCGTTTGGGAAAATTTAAACTTAAAGGCGGGGCGGCCCGCGGCCTCCGCATCGCCGGCGCGGAGGGTCTAGGCCACTTCCCCGGGGTCTGGCGTGACAGGACAGGATGGCGGAGGAGGGAGCCGTGGCCGTCTGCGTGCGGGTCCGCCCGCTCAACAGCAGGTAGGTGTGCCGCCCGCGATCCGGCGCCCTGCGGCCCCAGCCCGAGAGGTGAAGCCCGCGGGGTTCCCCAGAGCTGCTGCCGCCGGGCGCCGCTGCTCAGTAACTCGGCCGCTTGTCCTTTTTAAATTTTTAATAAAAAACATTTTAATATTGGCGTTATCGTCGGTGTCTCCCTCCCCGGCCTTTGCCCACCTCCACCCCCTCCCTTGACCTTCTCCGAACTGTTGTCGGCGTCCTTGGGGTGTGCACAGTGGTCTGTTATCCCTTCTCCTTGACCCGCTTACCCTCTGCTCGCCTGGGTTCCCTCATGTGTCAAGTCGCAGGGAAGGACCGGCGGCTCTAAAAGACACATTCCGGCTGCGGACTCTCTTACATCGAAAAACTCAGTGTGGTCAGCGTGAGAGCCTTAGCCCTGCGCTGCTTCCCACCCCCCCACCCCCCATCTGCATGCACCCACCCAGCCACCCACCTGCTGGGGAGGTCCTGCCGGAAGGGTCCTGCTGGCACTCAGGCTGGTGACACCGACCTGTCTCCCTCCTGCTGTGCACCCCGCAAGAGCCGGGACGAGCCTGTCTTTTTTATTTTATTTTTTTGCATCGTATTCAGTAGGCAGCTAGACTTCATTCAGACAATGACTGCATACAACATGCAGAAAGCGGAATGACTGGTAATCTACATGGATTTTTTTTTTTAGTACGGTGTACTGTACTAAACATACTGTCATCGTGGCCCTGTGGATCTTACATTGGGGCGGGAGAGACAGAAAGTAAAGTAAAAAAAAAAAAAAAAAGTAGAATGAAAACGTTGATATGGGAGTAGTAAATGCTACAGAGAAAAAGCAGGGAGGGGAGGTACTGAAGTCTGTTTGCTTCTCTGGTCTCCGGCCTTCACCCCAGAAAGAAACTATTACAATACGTCTTGACAAGTGTTACCATATCCTGGCGGAGAGTGTTGGCTGGAGGCCTCATAGCCCTTTGGTGAGATGACAGTTTGGGGGAGAGGCAGGGCCACTGTCGGGAAACGCCTGACACTTTTCATGGATGAAAGAATCAAGTTATTTAACGGGAAGGTTAGTCAGGGTATTCCAGGCGCAGAGGGGCTGAATCTGTTATCCCGCGGGAACCTTCAGGTAATTGATTAGTAGGGAGTTAGGATAGATATATAGATAGAGGAATTTAGAAGATGAGGTTGAGAGATAAACATAATCCAGGTCTCCTGTGCCACAGCAAGGACTTCAGATGACCTTTAAAGGATTAGATGATAGATAGATAGATAGATAGATAGATAGATAGATAAAATAAAAACAAAAAAAATAAAATAAAATAAATAAAGAAAATAAAGGATTTAAGGGAGAGGGATCTAAGCAGGGTTGCATTTTGGGTGTGTCTTAGCTGCTGGTTGGTAGGTGGGAGTGAAGAGCTTCGAAATGAAACTCCCATGAGAGGGCAGGAAGTTATTGAAGCCCTGTTTAAAAGTGTTGACCCCTGCCCTATCTGGTTTGGCTCAGTGGATAGAGTGTTGGCCTGCGGACTGAAGGACCCCAGGTTCGATTCCGGTCAAGGACACATGCTCAGGTTGTTGGCTCAATCCCCAGTAGGGAGCGTGCAGGAGGCAGCCAATCAATGATTCTCTCTCATCATTGATGTTTTAATCTCTCTCCCTCTCCCTTCCTCTCTGAAATCAATAAAAAAAAAAAAGTATTAAAAAAAAGTGTTAACCCCTCCCCGCCAAAGGTGGATTTTCCATGTTTATCTGATATAGATGTCATTACCATCTTTTAAAATAGTCTTCAGAAGATGAAATATTTTAAATTATCTTTCCTATAACATTGCTTCTTTGACCAGTAATAGTAAAATGCAGTGTTTTATTGTTTTAGAGAAGAAGCTCTTGGAGAAACTACCCAAGTTTATTGGAAAACTGGCAATAATGCTGTTTATCAAGTGGATGGGAGTAAATCTTTTAATTTTGGTAAGCTTATGCTAGCATCAAAAGTTAACCTGTTATTCTGTTCCTGTTAAGAGTACAAATTAAAAAGCCCTAACCCGTTTGGCTCAGACTCTCGGACTGAAGGGTCTCCAGTTGGTTTGATTCCGGTCAGGGGCATGTTCCTCAGTTGCAGGCTGGATCCCCAGCCCTGGTCAAGGCTTGTGCGGAGGCAACCAATCCATGTGGTTCGCTCACATTGATGTTTCTCTCTGTCTCTCCCTCTCCCTTCCACTCTCTCTAAAAATCAATGGAAAGCCCTGGCTGGTTTGGATCAGTGGATAGAGTGTCGGCCTGTGGACTGAAGGGTCCCGGGTTCGATTCCCATCAGGGCACATGCCTGAGTTGCAGGCTCGATCCCCCGTAGTGGGTATTCAGGAAGCAGCTGATGAGTGATTCTCTCATCATTGATGTTTCTATCTCTCCCTCTTCCTTCCTCTCTGAAATCAATAAGAATATATATATATATGTATATATATATATGTATATATATACATATATATTTTTTTAATGGAAAAAATATCGTAGGGTGAGGATTAACAACAATAACAAAAAGAGTACAAAGGCTTGTGAATAATACTGGATTTGTCATTAAAGAAGAGACCAAGCCTTTTGGTAACTGCTTCAGTGGGTACCTTAAAAAATTGTCCATCCATGTATGAAAGGTAAGATAATAAATTGATATTTAAAACAGTCATAGTCAGAGTGTCTTATGACTAAAACTATCATTTTTCCCTCTTATTTATTAGTGTATTTATGGCCTAAAACTTCATAAGCCTAAAATGTGTCACTTAATGTGAAGTCATCTTTAAGATCATCTTTTCAATTTAGTATTTTTTCCACAATTATTTCCAAGAAATCTCTTTAAACAATAAGTAGGGAAGATATTCGTTCTTTGCTGAAATACGGAAAGGACTCACCCCTATTTTTATGGAGCTTATCATGTGTCAGAAGGGACACCTTAATAAGTAATTACACTTATTATGACAAGCTTTGTGGAAGCTTATAGTGGGGATCTAGCTAGGTGTCTGAAATGGTACCACTTAAACTGGGACCTGCAGGATGAGGGAGAGCTACCTAGGACAAAGGGACTTAAAGGCCCTAAAGCAAGGGTAGGGAACACAGAGGCCCGTGAAACCATTTGGTCTGGCCTTGCCAAGGCACTAGGGTAAGCTAATTTAAGCAAATGTAGCAGGCTACTTTTTAAGTTGGTAATTTTGTATGGCCCGAGAATGATGTTATAAATATCCCAATGGCCCTTGGCAGAAAAATGGTTCCCCACCCCTGCCCTAAAGGTTGACTAGACTGATTTGTTGTATTGATTTAATATGTATATAGTGTTGCCAGTGTGTCAAACACTGTTCTAAGCTCTTCATAATCTTAACTCATTTGATCCTCCAACAAGCCTGTGCAGTAGATACTATGTGATAGGTACCTTCCCATTTTAGAACAGGACTAAAACAGAGGCGAAGAGTCACACAGCCAGCAAGGGGAAGTCAGGCTCCAGATCTGTGTCCTAGCCACACTACCATGCTGCCACTTAGGCACCAAAGAGCAACAGTGAAGTGTTCTCAACAACCTTAGGAATGAGTGTCAAAACAGTGTTAATGTAGAAAGCCAACATATAAGGTCTGGAGCCAGGATGTACAGTAGAGAAAATGATTCCTGGTAAAGGACTATTTGAGAGGATTAACATAATTTTTTAAAAGGTAAAGCAATATGTGCCAGAGATTATAAAACCAAAAGCAATGAATATGAAAGCATTTCGACTCAGGTACTACAGATTCTCGGGAGCTGTATATGCCCATTGAGGATTTTGACTCATTCACCTATCTGAAGCAGATGGCATTAAGATTTGAATCATCCGGTCATCTCTCCTTGCTCAGAAATTATGATGCCTAAGCAGTCTTTGGATGGAACTTTGGCTTTCCATATAGTTCTGCCAACAGGGTAGATATATGGTCGTGGTGCAAGCAGTGTGATCACTGAATTTCTCATTGTGGGTCAATCCATTTCCCTCCTGATGCACAAATTAATTGCTCGTGAGCTTTTTAATGTGAGGCTACCACTACAAGAGTGGTCCATTTTAATGTGCTAACAAAAGCAGAAAAGCACTTCCTGGACTAGTGAATTCATCAGGGCAAATGCTGTCCTAAACCTAGGCCTTGGCAACCAGCAAACTGGGCATTCCCTCTAAATTCAGCTTTTTTTCAGTACTTTTCTTTCAAACGTTTGCATTTGGTTTAGTTTGGGCTAGTCCTTTTTGCTAGATATTCTAAACATTGAAATTTCCCAAAGAATAGTAATAGTTCTCATTTCCTAAGTATTAACCTAATGTTTAGAATAATTCTGTGAGGAAGATAATATAGTGTATTGGTTTAACAAATTAGGGAACTGAGGCACAGAGATATCAACCACCTTGTCCAAGTCACACAGCTCGTAAGTCTCAGAACCAGGATTTGCAGACAATCTATTTCAAGACTCCATATTTAGCCACTATGCCCTACTGCCTCTTGAAAGTACATAGCATAGATGACGTTTTCTTGGGTGGGTTTTTTGTTTGTTTGGATGGGGTTTAGGTGTTAGGACCAACACATTTTACCTTATAAAAAAGTATATTTTCAGAGGACCAAAAAGTTGAAGAAAATATAGTCTTAAATATTTTATACTATACTAGAGGCCTGATGCACGAGATTCGTGCAAGAGTAGGCCCTCCTTCCCCCAGCTGCCAGCACCGGCTTCCCTCTGGTACCCAGGACCCGGGCTTCCCTCGCAGCCCTGACTTTGTCCAGAAGGACGTGCGGTCTAATTAGCATATTATGTTTTTATTATTATAGATTCTGACAATTTTATTTCTTTGAGCAACTACTAATTAAGAAGAAAACACAGTTTGTTTGGTTTAACTCATGTGTTATGTTTTTTAGATCGTGTCTTTGATAGTAATGAAACCACTAAAGATGTTTACGAAGAAATAGCAGTGCCCATCATAGATTCTGCCATACAAGGCTATAATGGTTTGTATTCATTGCAGAAACATTTTAGTCTGGGGTGTCTGTTCAACAAATATTGATAGTTTTATACTCTGTAGTCTCTCTCTTTTTTTAATCTTTGTGTGTGTTTTGTTTTTGCAGGTACTGTATTTGCCTATGGGCAGACTGCTTCGGGAAAAACATTCACTATGATGGGTTCAGGAGATTATTTGGGAGTAATACCCAGGGCAATTCATGACATTTTCCATAAAATTGAGAAGGTAAATAACTTAGCTAAATTTCTAGTATATACAGGTAAAAGTAGTAATAATAGGATAGCAATTTCAGTGTTCTCTTGTAATGATGAAAGGAAGTAGATTTACAGTTATCTCTTGATTATCTATGGGGAGAGAAGAAAGGCATGCATAGATTTACTTCTTTTCCACAAACTTACTTCAGAGCTTAAAGTTCTTCATTTTTTGCTTGAAATAGTAATACTCCAACCACAAAATGGGCATTAAGGAGCAGGAAAGTCTTATCAGAATGGTTAACTCCTCACTGCCTTTGTTTAACTGCCATTGATTACCAAGGAGCAGTAAAAATAGATGTAGATAAAAGACAAGGGCAGCAGAGGTCCAGATATGGCAGCCTATTTAGTTAAGAGTTGATTGCATTTAAATTACTTATTATTATTTTTAATGATTTTTAATGTTTTTATTTGAGCATCTGTGGGTATGGTTTTATTTTGAACTTATAGATTTGGACTGGGCACTCTTCTAATTCTATGATACTATATTTTTCTGAAACAGTGCTTTTGCTTTTATAGTTTTGTGTTTATCATTGTTAATATAGAACCATAAGGGGATTTTTAGGGGTTTTGTTTGTTTGTTTTAAGGAGATAGTTTCTCAAACAATATTTTAATATTTAATATTAACACATAAACATTTAGTATTAGGTTTTCCTAAATGGATGATTAATGTTTTGTTGTTGTTTTATCTTCTAGTTTCCTGATAGGGAATTTCTCTTGCGTGTGTCTTACATGGAAATATATAATGAAACTATTACAGACTTACTTTGTGACACTCGAAAAATGAAGCCTTTAATAATTCGGGAAGACTTCAATGTGAGTAGCAGAGTTAACAAAGTAGCTCAAAAAAGAGACTTATTTATTGCGATTGTTGTTCTTGAACATTTACCTTTAATTTCTATATTTTTAAGTGCTGTATCTATGGTTTATTTTATTTTTTCTTAAGTGATTATAAAGATCCCCCTTTAAGCAATACATAGTAGGCAAAAGTAGGTTTACAGTTGTAACATCTATATAATAAAAGGTTAATATGCAAATGACTGAACAGCGGAATGACCGGTTGCTATGACGCACACTGGCCACCAGGGGGCAGATGCTCAATGCAAGAGTGCCACTCAGCCAGAAGCCCTGAGCTGGGCTTACGGCTGGTGAGCGCAGCAGTGGTGGCAGGAGCCTTTCCTGCCTTCGTGACAGCTCTAAGGATATCCGCTCCTCATGGAGCGGGCCGAAGCTGTCAGTCGGACATCCCCCAAGGGCTCCCGGACTGGGAGAGAGCACAGACTGGGCTGAGGGCGCCCCCCCACCACCCACACTGAGTGTATGAATTTCTTGTTCCAGGCCTCTAGTAATACAATAATACAAGAATAAATTCTAAAAAAAATAAATTTTGTATTTTGTATACTCACAACTATACACCTACTTTTGCCCACCCCTATATGTGTAGTTTTTAAATATTGACAGCTGTAATATATTGGTGTAAGTGCCTAAAAAGAGCAAGATGGAAGTTTCAGGTTAGAATTTGGTGTGCTTTGATATAGGAAGTAAATTGTAAATATCATAAGTTTACTTGTTATTTTCATACTATAGTTTTCATTTTGCATTTTGACTTCTAAAAATGTATTCTATCATAGTTCGCACCTTCTTTTTGATATGCAAACTTTTAAGTGTTTTCTATTTCTTTACCCTTCCCATAATTAAACTTGTTTCAGAGGAATGTGTATGTATCTGACCTCACAGAAGAAGTTGTTTCTACATCAGAAATGGCTTTGAAGTGGATCAGAAAGGGAGAAAGTAAGACTTTATTCTGTATTTCTTCAAGACATTGTAAAAACTATTCAATTGAATGCATTTAGGCTTCAAGTCACACTTTCAGTTTTAAGCTAAAATAAAAGTTAATTTTTAAAAATGTTGACATACACTGCTGAAATATGACTCATTTTTTACAGAGAATAGACATTATGGAATTACAAAAATGAATCAAAGAAGCAGTCGCTCTCATACCATTTTTAGGATGGTAGGTAATTCTCTATTTGGTCTTTCCAGTTAAGAATGCACTAAGTTTTCTACAAGTTTCCTTTTCCTTCTAGATTTTGGAAAGTAGAGAGAAAGGTGAACCTTCTAATTGTGAAGGATCTGTCAAGGTGTCCCACTTGGTGAGTATTGCTAAACCATGATAATGTACCTTATAGGCCTGAGCAAAATTGGACTCAGTTGTGGGTTGTTTGGTTTCATAAGGACTGTTAACTGAACTAAATAGAACCATCTATAAATGGTATTTTAACTAGCGACATATGCAGCATAAAATTACTAGCTAAAATGTAGGAAGAATTTAGAGGATCTTTCTTCCTATTATGTATGGCTACCATCTCCTAAAATTTAGATGTTAGGACTGTAGGATTTGAGGCTTTCTATGACAGTAATGAAGGGGGGTTTGTTTGTTTTTTTGTTTGGGGGTTTTTTGTTTGTTTTTTTGTTTATTTGTTTTTCATACACATTTAAGTTAACGTAATTTTGGAATGGGTCACTGTCTTTGTTTTTTGGCTTTTTAGTCTCATCCAATAGAATTAAGACTTGTGCGATAAACAAAAACTTAAGTGGGATGGTTTAAAAGTAAATCACATTCAAGTTCATTCTTAAGTAAATAAAAAAATATATTTTATATTATAAACACAGTGTTTTAGACTGTAAATCCCTGGAAAGCAAGAGTGATATCTTATTCATCTTGTAGTCCCAACACTTGTACATAGTTTATGTTTGTTCATTTTTAGATTTTGAAAAATCAGTCTTAATTAAATCTAATTCTAGTTTACTTACTTTACCATACAAGTGCAAAGTTTATTTTAGTAAACTAGTCTTGCTTTAATTTAACAGCAAAAAACCTAACTTCTGTTTTGTTTTCCAAACCTGGCCTGTGATATATCACTACATTTCCAACTTTTCTCTTAATTTAGCTTTAATACCCTTGACATGGTCAGTGATCCATCTGATGACTTTTAACATGTTGTTTGATGCTCTCATTTAGGGACAACAGGTCCCATCTGATCCAACAACCTTCCAGCCTCTCACTCTTAAGTATCTTCTTGGGAAGAAGTCTTCCCCAAAGGATCATTTTCTGACTCTTTGTAGTTGGCCTTTGAGCATTTCCTAGCCTTTCTGTGATAAGATCCAGGTTCTCTTAGCTGTGCGTCTTCTCTATTCCCCTGTGTGGCCTCTTTTCTCCTATCCTTCTAACAAAAACACAGGCTGTTCTGTGGCCTTTCTTACTTCCCATGCGTGTTCTCAGACATTGTTATCACTTCTGTGTTAATGATGGCCAAATGTTTATTTTATCTAGAGTCTCTGAGTTCTAATGCATGTCTTCCTAATGATTATTATAATCGTACTAGGGGCCCAGTGCACAAATTCGTGCACCTTGAAAGGAATTGTGGGCTGCGAGGCTGTGGTGGGCACAGGGGCGGGTCTCGGCCCATCCCCCGTGCCCCCTCCCGGCCCCTCCTGCCGCAGCCCGCCCACCCCCCCCAGCTACCCCACCCCGTTGGGGCCCCCCAGTCCCCTGTCTGCCGAAAGTCCTGCTCCCATTGCTGCCGCTCCCACACACTGACAGCACCTGTCCCACTCACAACTGCTGACAGTACGGAAAGAGCAGGAGCGGGTGCGAGCAGGACCAGCACCGTC